GCTGAGGAGGGGGTGTAAGGCGTGAGGGCCGGCAAACTGAGGCGCGAGGGCGGTGAGGGGGCGAGGGCCGCAGCACGGGGTGGATCAGCAGCCCTGGATTGCTGGGCAGGCGGGGACGAGTGGCGGTCGTTCGTGCAATCAGCAAGCACACACATCACTCGCATACGTCTCCACGACACACTCTTGACACACTCTTTACACACACACGTATAATCACACACACACACACACACACACACACACAATCACGCACACACAATCACAAACACACACACGCACAACACGCGCACACACACACACACACACGCTCATGCAAACAAGGACTGTCACGCGTGCTTACGCACCCTGAGCAGCTCGGCCTCAGTGTCCAGCAGGTCGCGGCGGGAGTACATGCCGCACAGCAGGTCGCGGCGGAACACCTCCACAGATGCCCCGTAGCCGTGCTCGTACCTGCGGGGTCAGGTCGGGGCGCGGGAGGTGCGAGGGAGGCGGCGGCACGGGCGGAAGGGAAGGTGGGTGATCGTGAGGCTGGGGCGCAGCAATGGGAGGGCGTCTTGAGTTTGAGGAAGGCTAGGGGGGGCCGAGCGGGATGTCGTTGTCGCAAGCCCGGGTGCGAGGGTGCTGGCGGCCCATGGAGCGGGTTGCAAAGAGTTCGAAGGCAGCAGGAGATCGCGCATGCCTTAAAACGAGCAGCGGCACGGCAGCCGCGAAGCGGATAAAGCGCGCAACGGGACGGCACTCACTTTGTGGCCACCCACAGCGCCACCGCCGCCACCAGCTGCAGCGGCCTCTCCGGCGCCGCCGGCTTGGCGCCGCAGGCGGCGGCCTCCGCGGCCGCGGCGACGCGCGCGGCGAGGAAGCGGTCGAGCAGCGCAACGCCAAGGAAGAGGACGTCGCTGGGCAGTCCGACCACGCCAGCCGCCTCGGTCATCCAGTCCACCACGCTGGCGCGCTCACGGCTGGCCATAGGCGAGCTGCAGGGGCCGAGGCCGGCGCCCGGGGCTTGGCGCTCGAGGTAGCCGCCGTCGAGGGTGTTGGAGGCCTGGGGATGGGGGGTTCAGGGTCCAGGGGTTTTCAAAGGTGGTTGATGGTCAGCTGTGAAGGTGAAAAGGGGCGCCAGAGGCGCCGGCGGCGCGGCGGACTGCACGGATGTGTTGTTGCGCAAGCGCGCAAACGCCGCTGCGCTGACGTGGCCGCCGTTGAGAGGCGCGCCGCCAGGCGTGGCGGCCGGACGGCCAGCCCGGCCAACCATTCACCACTAGCACGACTCGCTCGCAGGAATTGCGGCCGCAGGTGCTGCTGGCGGCGGCGGAGCGACTTTGGTGCGGCCGATGCGCGCCGCGACCGCGCGCGGCAGACCGGACCTGCTGCTCGTCTGCATTTGGACCCCAACGGCGCACCTCCATGGCAAACAGGTGCTTCAGATAGCTGCGGTCGTCGTCCTCCTCCTCCTCCTCGCTGGGAGTGCTGCACCAGTCGCCGAGCGGCGTGAGCGGGCCTGTGGCGGGGTTAAAGTGCGCGCACGTTGTGAGCACTGGCGTCGAGGGCGGCGGCCGTGATGGCGGCGCTAGGGCCAGCAGCGTTTTATGCCATACAAAGGAAAGGAAGTACATTTGCCTTCGCACCGGTGGTGCTGCTGCAGCCGGATGAAGGGCTGGTGTCGACATCCACATCGACCAGCGGGCTCTGCTCCGGGACGCGAAGTGAAGCGGTGAGCGACGGTAAGAAGCATGATATATCACTTGCACCCGCAGAGCGCTGCAGCGCGGTCCCCGGACGGGGTGCTGGGTTTGCCCCTTCGCGGACCGCGCAGCGACCACCTTGCGGAGGCACGCGGACCGGGCCAGGAGCTCTTCGCACCTTCTCGATCGTCTCAAAGCACTCGAACGACAGCAATTCCCCAGCCGCGCAGCCTACATCTACGCAGGGCCGCTGTGCCTTGTGGGCGGGCATGGTGGGATCGCTGGGCCTCCTATACCGGGTGATTTGTATGCAATAGACTCCTAAGTTCCTCTCAACAGTCTCACAGAGGCCCACGGTGCGGGGTGTGGGCCGGGGCGGGACCTCAACTCGGTGGACCGTCGGACTGAACGGGGCTTCTAGGCTGCGTTGTGCGTATCATAAGCATTTCATGAACTTGATAACATAAGTGTTTGTGCATCCGGATCATTTTAATTGTTGCAGTGCACTTGACGGATCGTTCCGATTGGTACCTCTCGACAAATCGGTGTGTCGATGACGCCTGCGTTGGGCAGGGCAGTCCGGTGGATGCCGGCCGCTCCAGAACACTTGAAGTGATAGTCTATACCCATCAGTTCAAGCGCTGTGGCAACGAGCAGCCAGCAGAGGTGATTCAAGACGTGGGTTCTCTTGGGTGTGCAAGCGTGCGTGTCGCACGCATGGCACGGTGCGCGTACGTGCGTGCGCAGGCCCACACCCGCCCTCACACCATCCATATCAAAGCGCGGTGTTGTGCACTCTTGTTTGTGGCAGACCGGGGAGCATGGGGTGGCGCAAGACCCCCCGTTGGGGCATGTTGCTGAGTGACCCTAGCAGTGACAACAAAAGTTGTTTTTGGGCACTGCGCATGTGGCGGCAGCTCAGCTTCCAGCCTAGCAATGGTTACCTGGCTCGTGCATAACAAACGGATCTGGGCTCTGCAATGACGCATTGGGCAGACACTGCCGCCAGGCGCGCGTGGACCTTTGCTAAAGGGTTGCAATTGGACGCAACAACGTTTGACTGCATGATTGAGCGCTGAGCAAGCACCGGCAGGCCACACTGTGTGAGGTCGTGGGGATTTACTGTTGCTCTTGTGTGAACCTGCCCTTAGTGGCAGCCACGCCAAAAATTACATGGTTATGAACAGCGTTGGCCATCCTGCTGCTGCAGCGGCCATGAGGCCTGCTCGTGAAGACGAGCCCGGTGGATACTCAGGGCATGGCATCCATCATGTACCACGGTACAGCACGGCCACCGCTGTGGATAACCAGCAGTGGGTGTTGCGTGTGGGGCGGCTTCGTCATCAAGACTTGAGACCCGGTTACTCCAGCCGTTCGGGCGCGATTTAAAATTCGTATTCAATCTCCTTCATATCGCGCGTGTGCAGGAGCCGGCATCATATCGCCCAACGCCTGCGCGCAGCTGACCATTGAACCCGCAAGCACCGGGCAAAGTACAGTACAGGGGAACACCATTGATGATGTTTTAGCCGTTATTGCAGGCAGCTCTGCAGTCGGCCCTCACTTTGTCCAAAGCGGCGCCCGCTACATGTGACCCACACACCAGTGGGCCCAACGCAACGAGGATCAATCATACTGGCCACCCGAATGCGTGTATAACATACCATATAACATGGTGGACGTGATACTGCCTATGTTAGAGCTCCAGAGGGCGGCAGCGGCGGCTGCGGCCGGGTCGCGCGTGGCGCCCACGGTCGTCGCCGTCACAGCCACAACATCAGACTCGGAGGCGGCGAGCGCGGCAGGGCAGCCGTCCCCTTGCATGACCACTAGTGACAGCATACGTTCGTTTGCAGAGACCAGCATGAACGTGACGGTCAAGGTGAGGCCGTGCAGTCGCAATGACCAGTGCAACCGTGGTGCAACAGCAACCACCACCTGTCATTGCAGGAGCAGCAAGCAGCGGCAGGAGCGGCAAGCAGCGGGTGGCAAAGGCAACGCAGCCAATTCCAACATCGGCGGTGCTCTGCGCCGTTTGCACCTGGCACCTGGATCCACCTGAGCTGCCACCCCTATGCCCTGTCTGTTGTCGAGCTTAGGATCTGGCTTACAGCGTGGCCAGCAACACCTCCAAGAGGAAGGAGAGCATCACCTTGCTCAGCGGCATCACGGGGTACTTTGAACCCCGTGCCATGTGCGCACTCATGGTGAGGCGCATGTGTTTGTGTTTGTGCGTGCGCGCATGTGTCAAGCGTTGCGGTCGACGATAGTCAAAGCACTCTGGTGCGTCGGCAGTGACCGCGGCAACATGGTAGCGCGTGACATCCGTCGCCGATGCTGCACCATTGCTGCTGGCAGCCTCCCCGGGACAAATTCGGCGGAAAGGTCAACGTGCCAAAACACGAGCTTATCTCCCCCCCTGACACGCCCACTCGCAGGGCCCCAGTGGCAGCGGCAAGACGACGCTGCTGGATCTGCTGGCGGGGCGCAAGACCGCGGGCCGCGCCACGGGGGAGATCCTGTTCGCCGGCAACAAGCCCACGCGCGCCTTCTTGCGGCGGTACACCGGATACGTGAGCCCCGCGCCGCAGGGGCGAGGGGCATCAGGGGACGTGCGGCAGCGCGAGGCGATAGCGGGGTGGGGCCAGGCCCCGTCGGCTGGGCCGCGAAGATGCTGCGCCAGGTGCTGCCGGTGGTCGGTCGAACCGCTGCGTCCATTCCTCATCACTGCCGCTGGTCGCTCCTCCCCGCCATGCTTGCCGACTTTTATTGCTCTGTCCCTACCGGCCCCTTGTCCCCTTGCTCCCGCGTCTCCCCAGGTGGAGCAGTTTGACACGTTGCTGCCCAGCCTGACTGTGGAGGAGATGCTGCTGTACACGGCGGAGCTCACGCGGCCGCGGCAGGAGGGGCGCGCAGCCAAGAGGGACGCGGTGGAGGTGGGCGCATGCGGCTTTTGCGCGCAGCGCGGCTATGTGCACGCGCCTTTGCAAGTACGGGTGCTTGCATGTGCATGCGTGGCAGGTTGGGTGCACAGCCGCGTGAGTGTTGTGTGGTGTGGGTGTGGGTGTGGGTGTGGGTGTGGGTGTGGGTGTGGGTGTGGGTGTGGTTATTGTTCCTGTTGTTGCTGCTGCTGCTGCTGCTGCTGCTGCTGCTGCTGCTGCTGCTGCTGCTGCTGCTGCTGCTGCTGCTGCTGCTGCTGCTGCTGCTGCTGCTGCTGCTGCTGCTGCTGCTTCTGCTGCTGCTGCCGATGTGATGCTGGTGCCGATGTGATGTTGAGGGGCCTGTTGCTGCAATCACTCCTGGCGGCGCTTCTACATACACATGCCCAGTGCATGAGGGGACTTCGCAATGCGCAATATGAACTGCAAACCAGGCATTTCCCCGCAACCACGGTTGCCCACCACTCCTTGCCTTGTCCACCCATCTGGTTTCGCACCCCTGCAACCCCAGGAGTTGCTCAACAGGCTGGGCCTGGCGGGGTGCCGCGGCGTTCGGATAGGTGAGGCGGACACGGGCGTTGACCGCGCGTTGGCGACGCAGCACGGCTGCGGCTCACGTCCAGTGGGGTAGGTAGCCTCTGCTGTGCTCTCGTATCCGCCCTTTGCCTGGCAGCCACAGCCTCCATGGTTGTTCACAGACAAAGCCTGCCCAGTCTCTAGCCCCCCCTTGACCACCTGCAACCCTGCGCGCAGGCAACCCCCTGGAGAAGGGCATCAGCGGGGGCCAGGCCAAGCGCACCAACATCGGTATCGCGCTCATCACCAACCCGCGCGTCCTCATGCTGGACGAGCCCACCAGCGGCCTCGACAGCTTCACGGCCAACGAGGTGGGGAAGGCGCGGCTTCGGTGGGAGTGCGCGCTTGACTTGACAGCTGTCAATGTGAGGGCTTGCCAAGCGCATGGCATGGACCTGGCAGATGGAATGAGAAGTCTGGCAGGACACTTTACAGGGGGGCTGAAGGCCGCTCCAACTGCCCTTTTACCGCTCCCGATGGTCCAGGTCATCTCCCTGGTCAAGGGTCTGACGTCAGAGGGCGTCACCATCGTGGCCACCATCCACTCCCCAACCGCCTACGCCTTCTCACTCTTCGACAGGCGCGTCCCTTTGAAATTCGGATGGCACACATGCTTCAACGGCCTGCTCGATTTAGGCCTTTTTTTAGCCAGCCTTGTGCCTTGCAACGCGTCCTCTCTCACCCTGAGTAGTAGCCCGGTCCCCACTGCAATCGTGCACGCACAGCCTGATGATGCTGGTGAAGGGCCGCCTGGTGTACTTTGGACCCAGCGGCGCCCCCGCGATCAAGTACGTGCGGTCCCTGTGCCCTGAGGAGCCCCTCGGCTGGGCCAGTGACGTGGTGAGCCCTGATGGCACGCGCCGCGCTCGGCCTTCCCAACACAATCCCGGACGCCACTGCGCGTTTGGGAGCGTGGCAGCCCCAAGACGCCCGCAGTGACCGCTGCACCCATCGCGTGCCGCGCACGAGACGCCACCTGGATGGGGCAGGCCGCCTCTTTCCCCCAGCGCGTCGAGGCAGCTCGCACCGTTGGTCAATGCTAAGCTTGCACCACCAGCCCTTGACCCATGCATCACACGGCCCATCTGTTCACGCTGTAGCTCTGTAAACGTGATGCCTCTCGGCTGCTGATTGTGCAGGAGTGGTTGGTGGACCTCTTCTCCCTGGCAGACAGGCAGGGGCGGGCGGATGAGTTCGCAAAGGCCTACGTCGCGTCTGGCCTCTACGCGGTGGGCGTGGG